CCGCTCCAATATGGTGGAGCGCCCGCTCTACTTGGTCTGTTATGCGCCGTTTTTAATCCTTCTTTTCTAGCTTTTTAGGGGTTTTAAGGAGGGGGTATAAATACCCTTTTGGATGTAATTACCCACTCTATTCTGATTTTAGCCCTAATTCTAGAGAGTTTAACCTAGTTTTCTAGAGAAAGAAAGTAGTGTAATCTTCAATTCTCCACTGTAGCACTTGATTCCTTTTGAAGTTAATCTCAATCCAAGCCTTTTGTTGAGTAATTTCTTTCCCTTTTTCTCTTTATTTTGTTTATTACTTTCCTTTTGATTTATTATGTTTGTTTTTGATTAGTTTGTTGCTTTTGATTTGTTCTTCTTTGTTTGTGAATCATGTTTAGTTTTCTGTTGATGGTTGTTTCATCTTGTTTGGTTTCAATGGTTTCTCTCTCCTCTCTAGGCTAGATTTCTAGCTAGGGGAAGGGAGAGGGATAAGAACATGGGTTGCTTTGATTAGATGATAATGATGGATTGGATTATGCCTTTTATTGATGAGAGTTTGCCATTTGATTGTGTGGAATCAATGTTGTGCACCATTAATTCCATGATTTGATTGCCTTGATTGGATGCACGGAGGTGATCTTAGTTAGGGTTAGATCTCGTTCATCGATATGCTTGGATGATTGTATGGAAATAAGTTGTTTGAGTAGGATTTCTTATTCCCTGGCATGTTATTCATGAATTTCATTATCATCTATCTTGGTTGTTCATGTTTGGCTCTCCCCCACTTCCCCTAGCATTCGTCTCACCTTGTTTACATCCCACTTTTTGTTTGTTTGTTTATTTCGTGTTGTTTGTTTGTGTTTCTATGTTTGATAGTTTCAATCTCTCTCACTACAATTATGTACACAATCCTTAGGTCTCATTAGTCTCGTTTATTTGTGTTGATCACCGTTTTCTTGTGGATCTCGACCCTATTTATCACTATACTTATATCTTGGTGAGTGGGTTAATTTTATAGGAAGAATACCAATGACCTAACATCATTCTCCGTATCAGAAAACCAATCTTCTTCCACCCCATCTCCCTTGAGTAATAACCATGGTTGCTTTGAGAGTAAGGCCTTGAGCTTAGATGATTTTGATGAATAAGAGGTTCAATATGACAAGGTAGAGCTAACTTTTGATGATTATGAATTACAGGTCGGCATCTTGATCTTCACCATTGGTTTTTCCAGAATCTCCCTACAAAATGGGGAATCATCTAGAATCACCTAGAGCCGCTCACACTTCATCCTGTCCAGGCTTGGCCCTCGCTCTAAGATCGAAGATCTGCTGCGAGTGACTCGTGCCACTGAACTTCCTCTTTCAAAAGGCCTCTTCATCCCCCACTCTTGGTTTAGATTATGAGCCTCCAGCTCCAGAACCTTCTTCCTCGACTAGATCAGTTCTTTCTACTTCGGAGTGAGAACTGGTGACATAGGCTTCTTGGCTAACGGATAAGAGGCTGTATCAACTGATGTTGAACCAGCTCCCTTGCATTAGGTAAACATTGCCGTAATCGCAGCAAGTTGCTTCTTACTGCATTTGGAAAGGTTTTGAAGTATGGCTGGCATATTAACAGGCTAAGGTTTCTAGGTTGGGGGTGTCTGAATGATTCGTTCGTTATTCGGTCTTGAATTGGCATTCTGAATTTGAAAGATGAACTGGATCGTGCCGGATCTCCCGGTTTTACCACCGCTTTTGTCGAAATAGGTGTCGATCCGGAGAGATTGGTCTTCTGGGTCACAATTGATTTTGGTTTTTTGGTAGATCCTTTAAGACTGTAGTCGATGATGTTTTTTGTGGTGTTTGATTGTTTCCAGTCATTTTGGAAGCCAGTCCCTGCTTAGTCGGCGAACTTAGGTACGGACAATCGTGGCCCTTCTTTCTAGCGCCAATTATTCCAGGTGTGGTACTGGTTGTTCGAACTAGGACAGGTGGGCTCCAGCTGTGTAACTTGCACAGGTGACAAATGTTACTGCCCTCGAGAGTGGCTCGAGGAACCCCCCTCCGAAGCTTAAGTTAGTAAGTGTTTAGAGAGAGAAAGTGTACTTAGATAGAGAGAGAGTATGTGTAATAAACTTATGTGTCTCACCCTTTTTCCGTTGTACTTGGTCCTCTATTTATAGGTGTACGATCTCCTTTCAACTGGAGTCGTACTAGTCAGCCTGTAAGCCGACTCTAACGGGCTGGTGAGCCCCTACATCTTTATAGTGGTGATCGCACACCCCATGAGTAAGGCCGGGAGCGTGGTGATAACTCAACAGGACCTATCCCATATAGTTAAATATATAAATTCATTGAAAAAAGGCTAGAAGCTGTTCCACTAAAATTAACCAAGTGCTTAGGAATTACATAACCTTTTTCAAAGAAACCTTACAACAAAAATTCTTTTTTCTCCTTCAGTCCTCTAGCATCCCTCGTATAAACTACCCATGTGTTCCTTGGTGACCCCCAAAAGCAAGTGGGAAAACAAACCATGGAGAGAGTAGTAAACTTACAAAGCTACTTAAAGAACACTTGTAAAAAAAAATGTAGTTACTTAAGGAATTATAAACTCAATTAAATAAGCTTGAGATTTTTATGAATTAAACTTCGACCTTGTTTAAAGATGAGACTGAATGCGACTATTTGAACCATAATCCTAAAATATAAAGGTATGGATCACTGAATTTATAATTCCTTTTCACTTAATATATATTTTTCAACTATTTCCAAGAAAAAGAAGGGCATGGAGTTAACAAAGCTTAAATTTTCAATAAATGAAGTCAACAAACTGATAGAATAGTCAAAGTATTATAATCCAAGAACATGTATTACAATTCTATGCAGGAGTATTTTAATCTATGGAAAAAAATTGTTTTGCATCAACAACATACTAATAATTACCTATCGTTAGCCATCTTTATTAAGTTGATTGCATCATTTTCATGGCAAATGTAATGACATCCCTTCATGAGTCTACATTTTAAACCAACATTATCGGCTAATATCTATGAGTTAGGAAATTGTACAAGGCAATTAAATTGAGTAAACTTTTAAACACATCCCAAACGGACTCAAATTTTGTGCGTTTCAACTTGTGATGTTTTTACTAGCTAAAGGAATACAAATTTCTTTAAACTAATCTTTGACGGTTGATACCATAGTTCAAACCAATAGTCTAAAATAAAGTGATGTCAGTATAACAACACAACCACAGCAAGAATAACAACTTCCTATCAGATAATATATACACACATCACTCTGATGGAAATCAATCCACATAAACTTAAAATTTGGCATAGATCAACTATCTCACAGTTAGCCATTGACGTATATAATCATGCAACAATTAAAGCAATTGAACCACGTGATGAGAAATATATAAGCCCTAAAACATAATCAATATTCAAACCCAAAACTAACAAATCCTACAAACAATCAAGCTCTTACTGTCTTACCACCTTTAACCGACCACCACAACGCATATAGACAGATATGTCGTCGCAAAACTTGAAACCGTAAACCCTACTTTACCTGCCAAAGTAACTTTGAGTGTTGTGATGATAATGAAGAGTGTGAGGTTCAATGGGATGTCAATGGTTATTAAGAGAATTGTTCCCAAATTCAGAGATTCTACAAAAATTACATTAAAAAATCAACTATTAATTAATAAAAAATTACTACTCTTACTTGATTGAATGAACCACCGTCGTCGTAAAGCTATTCAAATCAACCAACATTTTCGCGCCATTAATGCTCGATGACACAGACAAATGAAGTTCTCAGTTATTGATTTCTTTGAACACTAATGTGAGAGAAGTTCTTTCTAGGCTAAAAAAATGGTTGTTGATGAGAGAAAAAGAACGGTGGGAGGATGGGCATGAGGAGGAACTGGCGGTGATTAGAGGAGAGAGAAAAGATTGCGATGAGCCAAATTCTTTAGTTCTTCATGTGAGAGAGTATAACGGAGACAAGAACGGGAAAGAAAAAAAAACAATAGGGTTAAGAAGCCTGTCATTTGGTATTTTTTTTTAAAAGGTAAGATAAATAACCCTACTGAATTGGCACCTCTCACAAGTTAAGCTAGCCTAGCTCAACAGGTTAGACTTGAGAGTATAGGGGGGAGCTAAGGAAATCCCCCTATTTCCAATCAAATGTAGTTGGTGAGAATTGAATTTGTGAACTCAAAGTCAGAGTTCCCATTGGTATTAATTACATGATACATGTATATATGTATTTTTTTTTGAAAATGTACATGTATATACGTATAAGCATACATTACATTACCCCACTTTTGTCGTTTGGTTCGCAGGGGGTAATCAGAATGGAATGAACAAAGAGAATGAAAGAGAAAGGAATGAAAATCCCTCAAATTTAGTATGTTGTTTGTTTTAAAAATCAAAGGAAATCACATCGCCACCACCACCACTACACAAACCCCTCTTTCTTCACTATCCCACTTCTCCGGCCACCCCACCCCTCGCCGCACCTGCCCCACCCTCGCCGCACTTCCTCTCCTCCAAAACAGCTTTTCCCTCTCCCGAAAACCTTCCCCCACCCTCGAAAAAACCCTAGAACCCTTCCCCAACCACCCAGCCACCCTCGAAACCCTTCCCAACCACCCTCGAAGCCCTTCCCAACCACCCTCGAAGTCGCACTTCCTCTCCTCCCAAAAACCGATTTGCTTTCCGGCGAGGGGTGGGGGAGTTGAGGGATGACCGGCGAAGGGTGGGGGAGATGCGGCGAAGGGTACACGGTGGTGCGGTTTCCGGTGATGTGGGTAGGTTGGAGGGTGGTGGTATGGTGGTGTGGTGGTGGCCAATGAATGGAATGGAAATACCTTGGGGGAGTGAGGAATGAAGTTAGAGGGATTTGGGGAATGAAGGGAGTAAAGGAAATTGGGAAAGTGGCCTAACAAACAACAACAAAGAGAATGATTCCCGTCAATTCCCATTCCCTTTGTTGAATACCCCCAACTAAACGGTCCCTTAATTTGTTATGGGAAAGTTTGCCGCAACAAATTGCTGGCTTTACCCGTACGAGTTATTACGTTGCTCAAAGTGGATCAAATTTGATATCATTTCCAAAAAAAAAAAAGAAAAAGAAGTGAATTAAAAGGATATTGGAGCTTTTCACGTGCACCCCTCTCTGTCTCTTTCCTCCATTGAAGCGGCTATTCTCTGTTGAAGCTACTCTGAATTCTCCGTTGAAGCAGCTTGTGAGCTTTTCTCTACTCCATTGAAGCTTAGGTAAGATATATTTCTTTGTCATCGATTATCAGTTTCACAATCTAGTGTTAATCATTGATTCAATTAAATTTAGGGTTCTTCTATGGTTGATTGATTATTGAACTATTGATTATAGTTTGATTACTGAAATGCTATAATTACTGTGGTATAACTTGTATTAGATATCTTGTAACTATTTAGGATATGGGGTGTTTTGCATCAACACCAAAGGAGGGTGGTGGGAATAGAAGACGGCCGAGCAATATTGGGGAAGTCTCGGTTTTCGTACCCGGACTTCGAATTCCTAAACCTGTAGATTTCTCTCAGTGCCTTGGTGATCATGTACCTAAAACTATTGTCGATGGTTTGTCCGCTCTCAGAACCCAAATTGTTGTGATGGTTGGCCATGAAGCCCTTACAGTCACGAGATCAAGAAGAAAATCTGCTACCCAACACGGTTAGTTGATTGTCGGAATGGAAGTAACAATTTTTACTAATGGCATGGTAGTAGGTTTGTGGATTGCAAATTAAAGTAGTCTCAGACTTTCAACATACAACCTTTACTTGTATTCAGGAGGTTCGACTTTGGCTGATCTTCAGCAAGCCCTTGAAGATTATTTGCCAGTTCTTCTGGGTTTAGTTAAAGATGGTAGGCATCGTATCATATTGTATGAATAATTATGCTTGATTTAGATTTATTCAAGTTCTGCCATTTATTATTTTTTCAGGAAGCCCTTTACAACACAAGATACAATTTGCTTGGGTTAATCAGGAGAATGTTGCCGAGGTTGAGTTTCATTATCCATTTATGTTATGATTTTAATTTTTTTTTTTAGCCTATGGTTAGCTTTTATTAGGAAGTTTAGCAATTAATTTCTGTTTTCCAATTTTCAGGAAACTGCCATGTCTAATGCTTGGTATGAGGTATCGTCTGTCCTACATTTGATGGCTATGCTATCATTATCACAAGCCAACCTATTACTTCTCCCCAGAATATCTGCTGATGGCTATCAGCCAAAGGTTTCAGATGGTAGGCATAGATTTCTTGTTTCAGTTTATGAAGTAGACTGCCATATTACTTTAAATTATTTGTGTTTTAGTATGTTTCAAGATATTGGTCTGGTGATATTGTACTTATCAATTCCTTTGCCCTCCCGATATGAATTTAAGTTGCTGCTTCCTTGTTCTGAGTAATTGATGTTTCGAAGCTGAGGTGAATATTCTGATACACTAGCCAAAAATATTGAGGTCAATAGATAGTGTAAGAAAATGTAATTCTCATCTATTATATACTACAAAAAGGTTGCAAAACCTGCTTTTTGATGGGGCAGTGGCCATGTAGGAAAACCCAGATTCCTAAGTTCATAGTAGTTAGAACAATGGTGGACATGGTCTCTCTTGATGGTAAGATTTGTGAGGAAAGAATTAGACGGTTTCCTTTTATTTTCCTATTTGAAAGAGGAGATATCCAAATGCCAAGTCTAGGAGATGTGAAAATCATTTTGAGATATACAGATGAAAGAGAAAATCCAAGAAGATTTTTGTAGTGGTTTTGTGCAACCTATAGGAAAATTTTGACATTCTAGTATACAAGTTGTGGATTCCAAACCCTTGTTTGTCTTATTTAAACTATGTTTGAGTAGCTACTAGAGAAGGAAAAGGATGGTTGGAGAGGATAGAGAAAAGAAAGGGAGATGAGGGGAAGGAAAATGTGAGCTTGCATTCTCCTTTATGTATTTCCAACATTTAAAGGTTTTTTTTTTTTTTACTAATCGTCCTATTCTTTTCTCTTCCCTTTAACCCTCCTTTCCCTCCACTCGTATCCATTTAACGGATGATGAATCTCACTTTCTCTTCCCTTCTTTTTCCTCCATACTGCTCTATTAAAATACACAATTATGGCATCCTTTATGGTGTGATTGTGGAGAGGTGGTGGTCTTTATGTATAATTGCAATCATGGTTGGTCACTTTTCACTACTTCTCCATTTCTTACTACTTAAATCTGAATATTGAACTTGGAAACATATACAAAGGCAAATGTTCATGAACTAATGACTACCAATCCCCAAGATCTTTCCAATAAGTACAATTAGAGCTGGATTCTTCTTAGAATTTTATTGTGACAATTAGCAACACCCTGTTGGCTTTGCCACTCCCTAAAATTGTGTTTTGATCACAATCTGGGGAATGGTTATGTCGTGGGAACGGAAATGATGTGTTCATTGTGGATTGGTTATGTTTCGACACCATAAGTACTCGTGTTGAATCATTGACACTTGGACATGAGTAGGATACTTGGACACTTCATTTTTGACAAAAACCGTGAGTGTGTCTTTACGAAATTGCTGAATGAGATCCTTAAATTTGTATTGGGACATGGGTATTCGAGTCCAAGTAACATAGTGCTTATTGTGAATTGACTTTGTTTTAACTCTTCATTTCTTCTCAAGTACTCGTGTTGGTCCCTTGTAACTTGGACATGAGTAGGATACTTGGACTCTTCATTTAAGATAAAAATCCTAAAAGTGTTTTTTATGAAATTGCTGAATAGGAAACTTAAATTTTTATCAAGACATGGGTATTCGAGTCCAAGCAACATAGTGTTCATTGTGGATTGGCTATGTTTCGACTCTTCATTTCACCTCAAGTACTTATGTTGGACCCTTGACACTTGTACATGAGTAGAATACTTGGACATTTTATTTTTCATGAAATTGCTCACACTTAAGTACGTATTAGGACATGGGTATTCAAGTCCCAGTAATATAAGGACTGGGTCACAGTGGTTGTGATACGAATTTGGTATTATAGTATTTTTATGTGTGTTATTTAAAACTAATGTATTGAAATATACTTCGTTTTTTACTTGAAACACTTTGACTTATGTATTATTTATATACTCCACTTTGACTAGCTTTATTGATTTATAATTAAGGAAAAATATGGTCATGTGAGATGTTCTTGGATTTGCCTTTATTATAATTTCATAAATTCAAATTTTTCTAAATTTAACATATTGGTAATTTAAGGTATTTTCCAATCACATAATGCACAGGCAAATGTGAATTGAGAAGTGTTGCAACTTGCAAGTAAATAAAAACAAAGGAAGTATGTTGATTAGGTGTTTCATTAATTGTTGTAAGACTTGTAACCAAAGATATATTGTCTACACTTACAATTCAAAATTTTAAAATACATAGTTAAATTATCGCCAAAAAAATGAAGATATGAAAAATAAACAGTGGAGTCGGGAACTTAAATGTCAAAAAGAATGTAAAAAAGTTTTTCTCTTCGTTTCATTTCGTTCTTTACATATTTTGTTTTTGGCGTTCCCCTTTACGTTTTCTGATATCAAATTTCTAAATTTTTTTATTATTCATCTAGTTGTTGCATCTCTCCCGGCTCCTATTTAATTAAATTAATCACAAAAGTATAATCTATCAAATTTTTATTTTTTGGTAAATAAGCAATTTTATTACCAAAGGAAAACCGTTACAACTTACAATAATAAAAGTTGTAACCCCTGAACTACACAAGCCCTACGGCAACCACACACCCCGAACATGAAGGCCACCTTCTAGGAAAAATTGAAAAGAATAGTCCCACTTTGCTCAACCTGCTCAAAACAAGCCAAGTTTTGGAAATTCTGGGAACAAGCCAACCTTTGCCCCCTATTTTCTCAATACAAGCCTTTTTACCTACTACCTCAGGTTAATTTTTTTTGTTTTTATAATTATTTTTTTCCTTTAATCTTTGTCCTCCCACTCACAACCCTCCTCCGTGGAAACCACCTTGGAAAACACCACCAGCACTACCTCAAGAACCAAACTGACCCATGCCCGACCCGAAACCACCCACGTCTTGACCTGAAACCACCCACGTCCTGACTCGAAACCACCACCCTTCACTTCCCCCACCCCAGAAAACCACTCTTTCCTACACTCCCGCCCCAAAACTTCCGTGAACCATAAACCCCCACCATCGAAACCACCCTAAAACCCAAAACCCCACTACCTAAACCACCTTGAAACTCACCCAAAAACACAGTCTAAAGAATGAAAACAAAAACAACCCAAAAATCTGATTCAAAAATCCAACCTAACAAAGTGACCAAAATCATTCAATCTTTCATGCTAATGCAGCTCAATTAATTGAAATCCCTACAAAATCTGATTTAATAAAATAAGAAAGAAATGAAAGCTTGAATGAAAGCTTCATCCACCGCAAAACCTCTCTATTCATCCCCATAAACAACCTTTACCATACGAAAATCAACCCCAACCATCACAAAAAATAACCCAAACAACCGGATCTAAAAAATTTGCAAGAGAGAGATAGGAGAAAGTGGCGGCGCGGTGGCGGTGAGAAGGAGCTGGTTCAAGGGGGATCGCGGGAAGGGGAATGAGAAAGGAGAGGGTTGGTTCCTTTTTTTTTGTTTTTTGTATTATTTTTTTTTCAAAATAATTATTTTAAGATAAAAACCAATTAGAAGGTGACATGTGGCGAGTCACCTTCTAAAACCAGTTAATAATTTTAAAAACTGGTGAAAGGACTGTTTTGAGAAAATTAGAGGCAAAGGTTGGCTCGTTCCCAGAATACGCAAAGGTTATCTCGTTTTGAGTAGGTCGAGCAAAAGTGGGATTATTCTTTTCAATTTTTCCTATAATTATTCGTTAATTTGCGTGCACGACACCAAACATAATGAATAAAAAGGAATACAGGGAGTAGACGTGTGAAAAGATCAGATTCTTATAACAAAACACCACTAGATATTTTCCTTTCCAAAACATGAGATATGGTCGGAAAGTCAAAAGTGAAAAAAAGATAAATAAGAGTGAGTTACAGCTAGTATCTTAAATGCTTGGTACTAATACTCATTTAGTTTTGTATTGAATGCTTTAGTTTATAGTTGTTGGGAACTTGACAACAATCTCAGGGCATCTAAAATAGAAAAAATGACTACTAAACTTGGGAGGTACACAGGGTGTACTACTCTTATGTGGTATCTTAGTTATGTGCAACAATATAATTTTTTAATCTTGCATGTTTATTTACCATTAATTGGATATTCTTACATGTATTTGAGACCTTAAAAGGTTTTTTTTCATCATTGTTCATTAATATTGTTGTTTTATTCATACAGAAAGCAGGCGTGCTTCTGTTGATATCTTCTTGAAGGCAGCTGGATACCTTGATTGTGTTGTGCGCCATGTTTTTCCGCAGCTTTCAGCTGAAATGAGGTTGGAATCACATACTTTTGAATCATGGTCTCTAAATTTTAATTGTAATGAAGGGTAGGTTTTGTCACAATGCTCACTATCTATCATCCTTGATTATAGGAGAAATTTACCAGTAGACCTAGCTGAAGGAGTTATACGGGCTCTGTCCTTGCAGGCATTGGGCCAGGTAGTTGTATCTTCTAATTTTTTTACTTCATGTGCTTAATAATTTACACCCTCATCCCAAAAAGAGCATTGCTTTCCTTTTTTCTACACCTTCAAATATGTAATCTATTTTTTCATTGAATTGACTACTCATTGGTACTTGTGAAGGCCTATCTACTATAATTGCTAGTTAGAAGAGAGACAACTGTGGTTTTATGTGTGTGTCTGTGTGTGTTGCAACTGTTGCAAGTATACACAGGAACTCCTACATACACATATAAAGATACGCAAGCACTCTTTGTGTTCACACTTCCTCTCTCTTGGATACATAGTATGCAAATTTCTATTGCAAGTATACACAGGAACTCCTATATACACATTTAAAGATACGCAAGCACTCTTTGTGTTCACACTTCCTCTCTCTTGGATGGTATGCAAATTTCTATTGCAAGTATACACACACTCCTACATACACATATAAAGATACGCAAACACATCTTTGTGTTCACACTTCCTCTCTCTTGGATACATAGTATGCAAACTTTTGTTGTAAAAAAGTATCTTACATAAATGAAAGAGAATTTTCTAAAAATAATTGTCTCTTTGAGTTGATTTGATCCTTTTATTATCATTTTTCAACCATGATGCATTAGATAATTCTTGTCTATCAAATTTCATGGGCGGGAATATCAGGTAAATGACTAGAAAGATGATATTAGATTGAAATTTTGTAAATATGACTTTTCACCATTTATCATTGATATGCTTTTTGATCATCATAATCTATCCTATTATTTGGCTGTTGAATAGTATGACTATGCTGTTGAAATTGAATACATAGGGAATGTGAAATGAACCGACTTAGGGGAAGGGTATTATGGGTAGTTTTGTATGCAATGAACTGTATTACATAAGATAAAATATGCAATGAACCTAGAGATGCCACCTGTGCACATGAGACAAAAGCTAAGTCTAGAATCATCATAGGGATAGAGAATGTATGTATAAAAATGGAAGAGAGGTATTGTGAAGGTAGGCAGAAATTTGTATTGAAGGAAAACCTTAGAGAGTTATGGCTTTGAGCCATTGTTAGAGAGTGATAGCCTCAACCTATTTTGAGAGAAATAGCCTAAATGTATTAAACCTATAATTTTGTAACCCTTTTACCATTGTCAATCAATATGTAAGCTTCCATCTTTATTATTTCTTCATAGTCATTCAATTTACCAAAAAAAAAAAAAAAAAAACGGATTATTGGTCTATTACATAATAAGGCTTTGATTGATTGGTCTATTACCGAATGCTTAGTTGCTTTGTTCCAATTCCGCAAGACATTAGTAAAAGTCATGGAGTTTTAATTTTAGTAGTTCAAATGGGGTGATTGGGAGAGAGAAATAATAAGGTTATTTTACTACCACAAAAAAATCTAAAAATTGGTTTTCACCACTAGTAACGCTTTATTTTGTTTTTCGATTTTCGTGACGAACACATGGTCTCTAGAGGTTTTGGGGGTCATTTTGGCCCTATAGAATCCGATTTTAGGTCCAAATTGACGAAAAATTATCAAAAGTGCCTTGTTTTTTTTTTTTTTTTTTTTTTTTTTTTTTTTTTTTGTTTTTTGTGAAACATTCAAAACAAGGCTCTTCCGATAATTTTTTGTCAATGTCAACCTTAAATCGGACCCTTTAGGACTAAAATGAACCCCAAAACCTCAAGAAACCATGTTTTTGGCACGAAAATCAAAGAAATGTTTTAATTCCATTAGATTTAAGGGAAGGTTCTCAATGCCAGGTGGTAAAATATAATAAAAAAAAGAGTAGGTGGTAAAAGCCAATATCTGGTTATTTTTTTGTGGTTAAAATCAAAATTTCCAAATACTAATATATTAGTTGGGCTTTACAAAACAAAGAAGTGCTACAATTAATTAGAAATGGATGAGAAAAGCAAGTGTTGCAATTAATTACTTCCTCCGTTTCTTTTTAGTTGCTACACTTTCCTATTTTGAAAATTGTTAATTACTTGCAACACTTTCCATTTTTGACATTTCTTTCTCTCTATCACTCTCCTACCCACATGGGTCCCTCTTATTTTTCCCTCTATCTCTCTGCTCTTCAAAAATTGTCTAGGAGACCGTGAAAATAAAAGCTTTGCAACTAAAAAAAAACGGAGGAAGTATTTCAATTGAAGTGCTTGTCATATATGGTTGAGGACTTGGGTCCTTAGTGGAGTGGATATTGAGCTAGAGAAGTAATAGTCAAAATTTGAATAGAAGGTCTATTGTATTACTTTAGGCGGTGCCTAGGTAATTCCTTATTGTATGGAAACAAAATGGTAATTCCTTAGATTTGCATTAGTGACATGTTGCCATTTGAATGTGTCTCATATTGAGAGTATACCTTATTCTATCAATTTGGATTCAAGGGATATTGGATACTGTTTTACTGTTTTTATGGTGGCAGAAGATTTTTTATGATCCATTTGTATGCCCTTTGTTTTTTTGTATTATATTTTTGGTTTGATGTAGGATGCCTAGACTAGTTAGACCTAAGAGGTGCTTTCTTGACAACCTTGTTAATATAGGAGGTTTAATGGGGGAAGTGGGGTTTATAAGGATTGAATCTCTTATTGCATTGTCCTAATAAAGAACTAAGGTGTTTTTATTCAATAAATATTCGTTTTGTAAAGAAATGCAACTTAGTTTTAGTTGGTGCACATGGGTGCACAATTCTTGCACCTCGTCAAAATAACAATGCGTGTTCTTTGATTTTGAACTACATGTTTAATACACAAAATTGTAGAGTTATGCTAGACATTGGAGTCTTACACATCAAAGAGGAACAGCTTTATCTATTTTTTTTTTTTTAATTTCTATTTTTTATTTTATCTTAATTTTAGTTAATGTTGAATTCAGGGTGTAGATATCCAACTGGGAATGGCAATTGATAGCGCCAAAGCTACACTTGCTGTTAAGAGAAGGCTTGCATGTGAAATGGTGAAATACTGGCAACAGGTATGTGAATCACCTTTATCATACATACCTACCACCTTTGTTCTTTTATTATTGCTTCATACAAGGGATGAAATAATGAGCAGCCCATGTAATGAGGAGTGATATGTAGCGATATTAAAAGAGTGACCCCATGTGATAAAAAGAGAGAGAGAAAGAGGAACCACATAGAAGGAAATGTTATAATGAATTTGAAACTTTTAAACATGGAATGTGAATATAGAGGAAGTGATTTTAAAATCTCTTCGTAAGACTTAAATGTTTAACCTTTATAGCTTTTTTTTTTTTTTTTTTTTTTTTTTTTTTTTTTTTTTTTTATAAGTTTTTATTATAGTAAGAAGACTTAACTAAAGCTTACTTTCTCAGCTTCTTAAAGTTCTTCCCACTTTCAATTTCCATCCGTTTCATGAAGTTCTACCTACTTTCAATTTATTATTTAGAATTTCCTTTCTACCCTCCTATGCCCCACTTTTCGAATACAATTTATTTTCAGAACCTCAACCTCCTTCCCTAGAATGCAAAAAAGGACCCACTTTTCAAACTCTCTCACATCCTTTTCTTGAACTTAAGGAATGGAGGAAGATAATTTTTAATTGAGTAATATGCCTTAAGATAATCAGTAATAGGTTTTACCTCATAAATCAATATAATGGTTAGTACTCCCTCCATGCTATATAACCCTCATTTCATCAAAATTCTTGTCCATTAACAAAATCCTTAATTTTATTGAGGTGGGGTCCATCCACTAACTTTTCTTTTTTAGTTACATTTAAATCACTTAAACCCTCATTATATTTTCTCACTTCCCCTAAAACTATTAACAATTCCGTTACATTCCTTTTTTATTCAGCAATACTCCGCAATCAAAAGAAGCAATCAACACTACTAAAGAAAAACTAGCTAGATTATGCATAAATATAATAGTTAAACATGTTTTTGATTTTTTTTTTTTATTAATTAAGTAAAACAAGAGATTAACTAAAGAATAAACTACTGTAAGTAAAAAGAGAAAATTGGTAGTACATAATAACTATTACAAAGTTTCATAAGTTAAAAGATCAAAGTTTTGCAAAGCTGGTTATGAACACCTAAGCACCCATTATAATTATCTTTATACTAAGGGCATGTACGATATCTCTTTGAGTTAAGTTTAAAGCAAAACTTAATTGATTTTTTTTATTATTTTTTAAAATAATTTGAAATGGATACTATTATATGAATAGTTTTTTTTAACACATAAAGGAAGTTATTATACTACTCTCTTTGTCCCATATTACATGTATAACTTTGGTTGGACACATTTGCCAATGACTGGATACCCTTTACGTACATTCTTTAGTTCTTTAATAATTGCAAAATTAGGTTTTTACACTATTCACTCAATATCATGTGGCAACTCATTATGATATTTATGTAAGGAAAATTATAGTAAAGTGGGTTCTTGTTAGATTTGTCTCGATTATACTTTCATAATATCAACTTTTTATTATTTTTTGTTGTAGATAATTGAAGATATTAAAGGTTAAAGTAGTGCCTCGAGATGCGTGAAACTCCAATTGTTGCAATTAATTTGAGAATGGAGAAAGCATATATATATATATATTATTTTTTTTTTTTTCATATTTTGATGATATACATTAAAATAAACCTAATAACATCCCAAATTAGTTTTTACACTTTCCTTTTTAATCTAATTTGAATTAGGAAAGGCCCCACTATTATTTAATTCCTCTCACTTTGCATTACCAAGCGGTCATGATCTTTTACATTCAATATACTACCTCCATTGAGTATTAGTTGCAACTTTGGGCATTATTTGTGAGATATAAAATATTTCAAAGTTGCAACTAATTCTTAACAGAGGCAGTGAAAATATCCCACTATTTTCTGTCATTTCTAATTTTTCATTAAATAATACTGCACTGTCTCTTTTCACATTTACTGTTCTAATAATTTAACAATTGATAACCAAGCAACTTATCTTCTAAAACTATTTACCATTATAAATGTCATAATAAATGTCGGATGAGGGATTATTAATTTTAAAACAGGAACATTTCAGTTTACATTTACTTCTATGTAACTCATAAACTACTCTTCACATGCCCCCACTGACGTTATTTACATAAAGAATTTAACATGTCATAAATTTTTGCTTGTTGTGGAAAATTGGTGGAGGTAGGAGGTATCTCGTGAAAACTCCCTTCCTTAAACCAAGAATATATTTTTTCATGCGTGAACTCATTTAGCTAACATGCGCATTAACTTTCTATCAGGCATTCTGGTTGAAGTTCAGCTAGTATAAAAAGGGACTTGCTCGATCTTTGCTTGCTAAGTAATCAAGCTTATTCATAGATGGCCTTCTGCTGATTTTTACCTACAAATATATTGAATTAGTGAGCTTGAATTAATTATTATTTATTTATTTATATTTTTTTACTTCCTTCATTTTTTATTAGATGCATCACTTTCTAAAAAGGGAAGTTTCAATTTAGATGCATCACTTTCCCTTTTAATTAATAAATTCTCTCTATCTCTCTCCTATCACATGAGCCCTCTTTATTTTTTCTCTCTACTCCAAAAATTGCCTAGGAATCCGTAATTATAAAAGTGATGCAACTTAATAAAAACGGAGGAAGTATTTTATTGCAATCAAACTAACATCCAAATGATTATGTTACCTGTGCCATTAGGATCATAATTTTAGGTTCTTTTGAACACGAGTAAATGGAAATTTATAATTGTTTAAACAAATTCATTTAATTTAACAGTTGCTTGTTCTAATGCCACGGTTTGTGCAGGCACAAGATAATATAATGAATTTACCATTATCTAATGGATGGGGTGAAAAGCATCAACTGTTCATTAAGTGGAAGTATGTTGAAGCTAAGGTATAAAATCAAGGTTCTTTTCTATATATGTCGTTATTGTGATTTATCTTGCTATTTTGATGATTTCTCATAATTTTATGCAATTTCTACTTGCCGAAGTCCCTATTGTGGATGAAAGGATTGCCATATTTATCCGAAAATAGCATATGTCTGATCGCCATTGATGGATTGGGCCTTTACTGACACGATCTGATCGGCAAGTCTTTAATTTTAATGTGATATTTTGAAGTGGTTGGTCAGGCAAAGACTTAGTCCATTCATATTCACGGTGTTAAAGTTTTCCCTTGTGCATTTTTTTAAATCACAATTACTTTATTTTAAATGTTCCTTTGGTCTTTAAAGTATGCTTCTTAGGAACTCCTAGTGTTTTAGTTGCATAAGGAATGTACATAGATAATCCTTGCTATGTTTCTTGTGTTGAGGTATCATAGTATAAAACGCTTCCACATCTCCACCCTAATTTAATGTTTCACTATCACTTGAAATATCAAGGATTTGATGTTTCGGCTCCCTCTAGTGCTTATCCAACAAATGTATACTTATGTTGTTGGCTATATGTATTCAAACTCGACTCCTTGGTGTGCTGTGAAAGTCTTGCCCAACTCATTCTGTTGCTTATAATCCCCACCAGGCATGCTCAGTCGCATATCTTAGTTGCATATCTTGTACCCCAACCTGCATTCTTGCTGCATGGATGCAAAGAATGTGGCACACATTCTGACCATCTAAATAGCGGACATCAACACCTGATTAAACCTCTCTTCATGCACATTTTGTTTTGGTAATATGTAGGGTTAATGGAAAGGAATTTATATGCAATTATGTAAGATAAGTACCATGCTTTCCTTTATTTAAAAACATTTGTGCTGTTGCTTTAGTGGTGATATTAAATGGTAATACATTTGTGATATTGCTTTAGTGGTGGTATTAAATGGTAATGAAACATATACTTTTAAATTATTTGTGGCTGGAGTTCCATTGCCATGGGCATGGGCATGAGACTTCCTCAAAGATTACTTTTAGATTCCTATCATTGTAATCTTCAAAACATGCTCTGCATTTGCTGTCTAAAGATATTCAGTAATCTACCTAACCAAAATAGTCTGTGGTACTTTAATCAGACACCACTTTGGATTTTGTTTTTTGTTTTAAAAAAAACTCAATTTACAACTTTAACTCATGTGAGGCTCTTTTTTTTTTTTTTTTTTCCCCACTCATAGATTTCTCATTAGAGATACTATAAAAGACTATGTTACTCGGACTCTTCACTTTACCTTAGATACTCATGTCGGATCCTTGACACTCAAACATGGGTAGGACACTTGAACGATTCACTTTAGACCAAAATCATGAATGATTTTTTTATTTTTTTATTTTTTATTTTTTATTTTTTTATATATTTTTTTCCCAAAATAGCCAAATTGGACATTTGGAGACGTACCAGGTCAGACTTGGGTAAGTTTGGATAACTCAGATGAATAATTATTTTTGACTCATTTATAAAACCAATAAGCTTTAACCTTCTTAATTTTTTTTCCTCACTATGTTACTCAGACTCTTCATTTGACCTCAAGTACCTATGTCGGCTCCTTGACTGACATTGGTAGGACACTCGAACACTTCATTTTAGTTCAAAATCATGAAATTTTTTTTGGAAAATAGCTGAGTTGGACTCTTGGGCATTTAACTTGTGTCGGACATGGGTACTTGTATCCAAGTAACATAACTTTCATAACAAATTCGACTAGCCTTAAAGTGACAGTACATGTGTTGTAGAAGGTACCTCTGTCAAATCCCCCTTAAAGTGATTGTGAACATGTCATAAATAAAGCCGAGGCCAAATCCAATCTTGTTTATCTTATAGACAATCTGGCTGGAGCGGAATCGGCATATTGTTAATGGAATTGCTTCTTCTCAGGATAGTATATGGAATAAAACAACTTTATTAGTGTGTGAAAAGGTAGGTGAGTGCTAGATAAAGTAAAAGAGTGTAAAACGGTGGTGGGTGTAAGATAAAGTAAGCGAGAGAGTGTGTAAAGGTATATTGTGGGGTAAAAGGGTATAATGATAAAGTAACAAGGCAAAAATGGATATATATAATACGAGTTGAACCAAAAAAAAAAAGTAACAGTGTTTATAAGGTAATTGAAAATAACAGATGTAGGAGTATAAATTTATGAGAAATAGAAGTAGGTAACTTATGGAAATTTATTCTAAATTTAGGAGTTCTATAAAATAGTTTACAATACCCTAGGTGGATTATTAGAACTTGGCTGAACGTTCGAATAAGTTGTGTATTTGTGTTTCTTGGATGTTACCGAGTTAATTTGTATGCTTTTATTTGTCATTTTCGCAGGACATGATTTCCTTCTTAGTCTTTGTCCAACTTCTTGCAGGCTGCTGCTTATTATTATCACGGACTCATTTTGGATGAGGGGAACACAGAGAAATCTCATGGTATGGCTATTGCTGCCTTGCAAGCAGCTGATGAATATCTTAAGGAAAGTAAAAAGGCATGTGAAGCATTTAACATGGCTCCCCCTCAATCAAGGTAATGCATTTTGTAACATCAGTCTTTGCTCTTTATCTAACTGCACTTAATGTGTATTTTGTCTGGCAATACTTTTTATTAATTTATTTTTTATCTAATATGAATCTCAAAGCTTTGTGTTGGTTGTGAATAAACAGTTAATACAAACAAGATACACTGTGAACTATCGAGAGTATTACATATGAACCAGAATAGGTAGCAATTTGAAATCCCTTGAAACCAGTATGCAGCTAATGAGTGTACGCTAGACATAAATTATGACTGTTTACTAAACAAAATGTTACCTCCTCTCATTTTGCTTGATTGGAAGTTAACACTTTGCGTTTCTATGTATAAATTCAATTACTGGTTTTGAAATAATTTGATAGCTACATATTTGTCAAAGATTATATTGTGAATTATTCTAAAAGAACATATGAAGAGTAAATTTATGTGAATTAACGGTAAGCATTTGATAATTTTGACCTCAAAGTAAAGTGATATAAGTTAAGTGAGGTGGAGGAATAGTTCTTATATGCTAGTATACAACCATTCACTTTTTAAAAGAAAAACTTAAATGGAAACCATAATTATAATTTATGTGTATGGAACAACTAGGGAATGATTTTCTAATAGTGACCGGCAAAATTTACAAGAATATTGTTGGACATGATTTATGGAAAGGAGTGACATACCAAATGATGAAGGAGATGGTTAATTTTTATAAGTCAATACGTGCAAAGTAGTAGCATGGAAACTCAGTCTGATATGTAAAATGGTCAAAAGGATTGCATGCATTTTAATCTTTGTTTGTTAATAGATTAGATTGTATGGAGTTCTTGCTATGGTTAGACTATTAGGCAGTAATGTGGGTTGTTTGATGAATCTAATTTTGGTTAAGTAAGGGTAGTAAATGTTAAGGCCCCAATTGGTTTGATGTAAAACATTTTCAATAAAAATTTAGTTTTAAGAATACATATTTCGAAGGAAAACCTCAATTACAAATTAGTTTTCCTTTGTTTGGTTCCTTACTAGAAAAGTTAATAGAAAAATTATAAATAGGAAGTGAAAATGTGAAGATGGATGAGAGGAAAGTAAAAATGAGTTAGGGAAGAGAGAGGAAAATGTGGCTTCCCAAGTTTTATAAAAGAAAATGTTTTCCACCATTAAGGATACAAATTTCCACCATTGGGAAAATTGTTTTCTACCCCTTCACAAACCAAACAAAGGAGAATGGAATTAAAATTGGAAAATTGTTTTCCGTGAAATCATTTTACATCAAATCAAACGGGGCATAAGTGTAAAACTACCCATAGTAGAAACGAGTCAACTATAAAAAAGTTCCCCGTAAAGAATACGTGTCAAGTTTGTCAACTAAAATAAACGGAGGAAAGTGTTAGTGCTAACACCTTATTTACCTAATTTCAGTTGAAGAGAACATATCCTATGTACCTAAAGTTTGACTTTTAATTCCATAATTGGATATTAAAAGTTAAGATTATTTATATGAAAAAGTTATATCATTTGTATTCCTGTACCTATGTTCCAATTAAGATGATGTCCTTGTATTTTCATAAGAACTACAACACTTGAAGCTTGTGTCCATTTATTAGAGGTTAGGTCTACTTATAACACACAAAATCTTAAGTCTCACCAAAATCCTTCATATCAGAAGTGATGTAGATCAATTGATTTGTCAATTGTCATACATGTTATTGGTTTAACTGTGACACCGTTGTTGCAAAGTATTGAATACAATCAAGGTTCATTTTTCTAACCATACATAAAGAAAGTAGCAATCAAATTATTTTATCCTCAACATGAGAAGCTCTGTTGATGCCATGAATACTCTGCTGTCCACCCTAGGTGGTGCTCATGGCCTTGTTGGAATCTTGTTGGAGGTATTGAGATTTCTGTTAGGTATTCTGGCTTAATTGTTGTTGGTACTGTTTGGTTGTGGATCTGGGGCTTCAGCAAGAAAAGAAGAGTTAAAAAAACATGATATTGGTAGCTTCAACTTCTACCTTGAAGCTGCAACACTTTTCTGGAATCCGAACACATACTGCACTTGGTCAACCTAAGCTTTCCTTGCGTAATTTATCTTTTGGATGTCTGAAAATTGTAATAATTTTTTCTAAAATAGAATTGCTATTGTTAATCCACATGTGATATGAAATTTCAATCTTTAGTTAGTGATCTGCATTCACGTGCTGTACTATATAATAGTTGTCGGGATCGAGATCCTACTTTGTATCAAAAAGGGGTGATAGGATGGGATCGGTAAAATCGGATCGTAGGATCGTAAGATCCTACAAAAACTCATAAAAGGGGTGATTAAAGACTATAATAATACTTATTACATGTGATTCGAGGTAAAATTGATGCTAAAACCAATAATTTTGAAATAATTAGCCATGTTTAAGACAATGCAACCCAAAAAATAATTTAGATACAAAATAATCTAAAATTTTAGTAGGATCACTTAAGATCTAGTAGGATGGTACGATCCTACGCGATCCTATCCGATCCTAGCGTGATCCTACCATAACTTGAGCTGAAATTCCTCACCATTTAGTTGATTTGTAGGACGTGTGGGATCAATGGGATCGTCTGATCCTATATGATCCTACCCGATCCTACTACGATCCCACTTTAATTGCGATTTTGCTAACGATCCGGATCCTTTGGTAAAAAATAGATCGTAGGATCGTACGATCATATGATCCGGATCGCGATTCCAACAACAATGACTATATTCATAGAACTGATTCATGCCCAAGGTTGGTACTCTATGGAAACAATCAATAAACAGTTTGATTAAAGAATCTTTTAAAGTTCAGTTAAAAGGTATTCTAAAACATTGATCCGATTCTATGGTTAAATATATCTATCAATTCAGTAGCTTGATTCTTAAGCTTTATTTCAACAGTTGTTTTTATTACTTTCTAAAGTGACTATCTGATTTGGTGATGCTAGTGGGATGGGTGGAATATAAACCAACCTTTCGTTATTAATTAAATCGTAAAAGCTTTATTTACAGGATTGGGAATAATTTTGGGGTTTGAGGTCTTTTTAGAAATTGACACTTATAATGATACCAATTGTACATGTTATAGTATGAAATCGTAATAGTGATTTTTCGGTTTCCCAATTGGTATCCATTCCCTGATATGCAAATATCAAACAGTGACTTTGAATGACTGCAAATTTTTTATATTTATTTCATGGGCGAGCTATTATTTCTGACATATGTGTCCCTGTAACTCAAATCCATTCCCTGATGTGCAATAATCAAACAGTGACTTGGAATGATTGCATCTGCAGAGTTTTTCATTTTTACTTTTAGTTTCACGGAAAGCTGTAATTTCGCTCACTTCTAACATGGAAAGGGTTTGTATTGAGTATAGAACTTGCTTCCTTGATACTATTGGATGGTTATCCATCTGTACATTGGAAATGATCTAAGGTCTTTGAGTTCTTGTAGTAATATAATCTCGTTGTACCCTCTAGGGATGTTTGTCCAGTATTGTCTTTGTTAGGATGGATTTTTAAATGTGGTTATCTACCTTTATTCGTTATTTTATAAAGTGCTTGTTTAGTTTATCAGGCAGCTCTAAATCGGCCTTTTTGATGCAGAAATACATTATCTTGGGGGACTATGAAATATCTGTCAGAAAAAATTCCAAAAGACACGGCTAGCAAGGTGCGGATCAATCGGGACTTGTATACACATGAAAAGTAAGCATTTTTTTTAGCAAATAGTTTCTTTCTAATATATAGATGTGATGTATGCTTTCATAGCCGCGCAATGTCGAACTCAATGGTCTTTGTTGTCTGTTTCCATTATACTATATTTATTTTCCCGTTTCTTCTGTTATTGGTTATTTTTTGTAGAGCCATACGCAATGGGATGCAAATCATCCTATTACTTTGGTTTTAGTCTAAAGATGCATACATATGTTTTTTTTGGTTATTCCCTCTTTGGAGATGAGAGCGTTTGGTTCACAAAGCAGTTTGAGTATGTGGTTAGAACTTGATTCTTAATACCATGTGTTTGGTTTACCCATCTTCCCCTTGGTTTTCTAAACCCCATACATTGTTGGTATGAGGTATGAGTTCAAAAAGTAGAAATTTTTTAGACAAACATTTAGGTATGGATTTTATATGGGTAAAACCCATGCCTAATTTTAAAGTTATGCAAACCAAACACCCCTTTAAAGGTTTGAGAGTCAAATTGCTTATATTGGTGTTGGTAGTTAGCTAGTCAAAGACTCAAAGGAGTGTAATGTTATCATTTGCTAATTTACGTTGACCATAACATATCAAAGCAATGTTTTGGGATGATAGAAATAGGGACTATTTGCAAAAGGACAATCTGCCAATTGTTTGTGCCATAAAAAAACTATAAACCACCATGTACAAGACCTCTTGAATCCCTAAGACAATACAAATACAATGGAACCACACTGCTAAGAAGGTACAATGGAAAACTGGAAGTCATAAAATTCTACAGTCATTTTATGCCATTGTTTGTCAAATAAAATATAAGTTTTAGATTTGGACACTAAATCAATGCTAATTTAAGAGCCAGGCTCTCAAAATTCATGAAGGTTGGCCCAAGGAGAGGGGATGGAAGAGGGTGACTGTTTGAGTGATGGAAATTTTCCATGTTGTTTTCGAGGACTAAAGAAGTGGAAAGATTAATCGGGAGTAGAGTAGACATATGTGTGCTATAGTTATAGATGTGAAAGATAAGAGGAGCTATAAATATAGGGTAAAGGCTTATTTACTTTATTAAAGGGTGTGGAGATGGTTAGAAGTTTTAGTTATTTATTTTCTTAAATATTCCACACTTGTAATCATTTCAATTTTATTTGAAACTTTGAAAAAAAAATTATCAATTTTTTTATTTCATCAAATAACATCTTAAGAATCTTCTGGGTTAAAAGTTTGGTTAATAGTTTTTATAATAAACTAGTATTTGGGCCGGACAATGTCTTAGGTTAGTATATGTATGTAATTAACAATTATACTTTTTATTCATGCTCGATGTTCCCAAATTAAATTTTATTTTTCAGATTGTCATTCATCACAATTTAATATTTTGTTTGCAAAAGTAAACATGAAAAATGTGATATGTCTTAGTGGTAAGACATCCGTGCCAGAAATTGAGTCAACATTTTTAATATATAAGTATAAATATTAACTTAATTATTTTCCCAAAAGATAGGGAGAGTGCTCATTAGTTTTAATTGTTTGATAATTCATACTTTGTTCTTTTTTGCTTGACTTGTATTTTTTTTGGAAGTTTCTTTTACTTTTTTTGGCAAATTTTATATGTTATTTTCCCTTATTTACCGTCACTTTCTTAACATAACCTAGAAAAAAAAAAAAAAAGAAACAAACTATACCCCCTTACCTATCTCTTGTTACACAGCCCACAACCAATTTTCTCCATGGCAGCCATCTCCTCCCTTCCTCCAATTTCATCATGGCAGCCACCTCCACAGCTCTATTATCAATCAACCAATCAATGAATCTTAAGCCTTAATCCAATAAGTGGGGTTGGCTACATGAACCAAAAATGATTATTCCGTATAGTCATTGACAAAAATCTTCCCTCCTCCACCCCTTACGATCCAATGCCTCATCCTCATGCAAATCCATATATTTCAAAGTTTGGCTCATGACATGGGATGTGACAGTTTTACACTGGGTGTCACTGGCCTACCGAAACCCTCCTCCTACGAAATACCACCACAAGATCAACCACCACCTTTATATTTCCTCTACATCATTACTAACATCCACCCTTCTTTCACGCGGTCCTCTAAATCATTTGGCTATCTGTTAATAATTTGCACCATTACATCCAAAATCCTTGCCCCTAAATTTTACCTTTATTGATTTCTTTATTAGATTTTATTCATTTATAATCCACTATTGTATTTTCTACCTTTTTTTTTCCCACTTCAAACCAACCAAACCCTACTATCGTATTTTTTTATATTCACCATTAAACAACCAAACTCCACTATGTTTTTATTTATTTTTTAAAATTCATCTTCCTTTACACTTGTGCAAAGGGTAAATGAGGCTTTTAATCGAGGATTGTGCGAGTAAACGGTTTATTATATCGAATGAAGGGAGCAATAGCTAATGACATCAAATTTCAACTAAGTACCAAAATGGCTTGAATATATCTTCAGTTTGTCTTGTGGATTTATAATTGTGTTGAACATAATACGTTTTGAAATTTTCACTTTGGTATGGGTCATATGGTTTGATATTTATTACTTCCCTCGTTCCATATTAGATGACATGTTTTGACTTTCAAACTATTTATAATCTTTGCTTTGACTAACATTTGTGATTTTTTAATATGAAAAAACAGGTAAGATCTTGTTAGATTCATTTCAATGTGTATTTAATTAAAATTAAAATTTCAAAATGTTTTTTAATCATAGTATAATTAAAGATTTTTTCAGTTAAATTTTTGCATTAGCAAACATGGTAAAATAAACGTGTTATCTAATTTGGAACAGGTTCGTTTTTTTTTTTTTAAATGCATTACTTGGTGATGCGGAGAGTTTTTGGAGAGTAATATATTGTGAGTGGGTGAATAATTTATCATAATAAAAGTAAGATGGAGACCATGAAAGAAAAAGTATGTGAAATAAAGTAAATATTTTTATTATTTTAGTGGGGACCATGAGAGAGAAATGATAAAATAATTTAAGTGGAGTTTAAAATAAGAGAGAGAAATGATGAAATATAGTATAAAGTTACCAAGTATAGAAGTGATGCGTTTAAAAAAAAAATACCCATAAAAGGAAAGTAATGCATTTGAAAAAACACGGAGAGAGCATATTCTAAGAGAAGCACTGGCTTTAAGGGTTGAGCATCTCATAAGTACAACATAAAGTCTCGATTCTAGTTACTATGACCTATATGATTCTTGTAATTCCTTCATAGTGAAGTGCTTTATGTGTTTCTTTTCCTCTTCTTTCCCACTGTTATTTATCAGTATCTTAGATTTAATTAAGTAAATAAGTGTAAATTTTCTTGGATAGGAGTTTATGCTGTCATTACTTGTGTGCAGAATCATGGAGACAGCACCAACATTGCCTGATTTTGCTTTGGCACTTAAACCTGATGAATATCAATTACCTCCTGTGCATCCTTGTTGGAGTGGAGAGAATACAAATTCCGTGGAGCAAGGTGCAAAGTAGCTTTACAGTCCAGGTTTCTCCCATCTCAGAAGTTAACTTTGCCTTATATCAAGTTGAAAAAGCAAATCTTGCTCAATTGTAAGATTTGTAACATTATTTGTTGTGTGTAATCTAAAACATCATAGCTTTACGTCCATTACTCCCTTAAGGTGACAGTAGTTTTTCATTTTGAGCACCAGCCTGCCAAAAAAAAAAAAAAAAAAAAAAAAAAATCATGTATAATTGTATAAAATCGACAGTTGGGAGGACATCTTTCCTATTCAATATTGAAAATAAAAATATGCATTCTTTCAGTTAAAATGTGATGATATTATATTAACTGTTTTCATTTGCTCCCTTAAGCTGCATTTATTTTGCCAATTGATGTGTGAATTCATCGTTTCTATTTCCGTTGGTATGCTTCAAAGATTTGCATTATGCTGCTTGAACCTTCTTTTTTGACCGCCATAAGAAAAGTAAATTTGATTCTTCGAGAAATAATAGAGGAAATGGGAGGTTAACAACTGTTGTGATTAATTATGAAAACTGTTGGGTGCAAAATAGAAGAGTTCATCGAGTAAGATGAGGAATGGAATGAAATTCAGATACCCTATTCGCATTATGATAGAGGAGATCAAAGCTCTATGTTTAATGGCGGACATGTAGAAACAAGAGTGGTACTACATACTTAGTATTTTTTTTTTGAGAGTAATTAAAGGTTTCTTGCTTTCCTCATTTATACAGTTCAAAAATAGGCCACCAAAATCTCATGATCAAAGACTTGTATTTTTTTTTTCTTGTGTATTTGTAAAATCTAGTTTAGCTCAATGTAGTTCTTTGGTCTGTCAGGAGTCTTACATTAAAACAAAGTAGTTCTTTGCTGACATTTTTTTTTTTGTTTGTTTGTTTGTGTGTGTGTAAATGCTGATATTCTTAGTTTGTACTCAGTTTTAAAATAAATGCTCTATCTTGACTAGGCACGTATAGGGCTGGCCCAGGTTACTCAAGTTGAGTTACAAATGTTGTTGCTCAAATGGCAATGTGGTAAAAATTTGTCTTGAAATTCTCAAAATAACAATATTTTAAGTTTGCTGGGGTTTATGGGTAGTAACTGGGGTTTGTTACCGTTATTCCACGGAGTTAGTAAATTGCTTTGGTTTGTTGAGGAGAGAGAAAGCATATGGACTGTTAGAGCAGTCGAAAGAAAGTGGAGAGCTTCGACCGCCGCAGCAGGGGAGTACGTTTCTAGCGCGAAAGGCTAACGATGAAGCACGACGAAGCCACCCCAAATCTTCTCTGAGGTAAATAATTAAACTATCATTTCCGAACAAGCATCAGTTGCCAACTATTTCATCAACCATTTCATCACCATAACTAATGTAAACCATTATCAATGACAATGATTCTATATCATCAACAACTAAGTAAAACCCAAGTAATTAACATTGAATTTCATTAAGTGCATTGAATTTCATCAAGTAACACCCATCCATTAACATTGAATTAACCCATGTAAAACCCGACCATTAATTAACATTGTACTTCAACAAGTACATGCGTAAACAAGTAAAACCCAAAAATCAAAATAATTGGTATCAAAATAACCTATTAAACTGAAATGTTTGAATTTCAAAATTATTTGTATTCAAATTCATCAATTACAATTACATCAACAAACAACTAAAGCATCTGTAATTGGGCACAATTTATCAACAGTGGGATGAAGTAAACAATGGCAAGTACTTACATGAACATCAATACGCCGGTTTAAACATCAATTCGTCGGTTTTAAACATGAATTGGCATGGACTTGAATTCATCCCATGTTAATTGAGTTCATTCGGAGGAGACATCGGACTTGAATTCATTCGGTGTTAATTGAATTAGTTCGGAGAAGGTGACATCGAACTTGAATTGCTTCGGAGTTAAATTGAATTCATTCGGAGAAGGTGACATCAGACTTAATTGATTTCATTCGGAGAAGGTGATATAGGAGATCGCTTCAGCTATCACCAGAGCAAACCCTAACTTTACTCAAATGGGAATTGAGATCTTTGGTTAACGACCCTTCACCAGAGGTTAACCATAGTACATTTCACATTACTCATTTATCCTTACTCTTGAGAAGGAAGTTGAGTTAACCATTAGGTTACTCAAGTTGAGTAACTTAGATTTCCTCGGCACGTATATCATATAAAACTTGACTAAAAATATCATCAATTATCAATAAATTTAAGGTAAGATTTTAATAATCCCAACTTCAGCCCATTCGCGTTTAATAAACCCAACTTTGGATTTTGGTTGAATAATTTCAACTTTAGGAGGTACTAGCTCAAGCCTTGCGCACGATATTTTACTAATTTTCATAAAAAAATTATATTAATTCAATAATACCTTTTGTACCTAGCTAAAATAATATTTTGGTTGTTGTTAATGGTAAGATTATATTAATTTTCCTAATTAAATAAGATTTTGTTGATTGTTTGAATGGTAAGACAAATTTACTTGATTTACATTGAATAAAAGAGGAACCAAAAAAGAAAAAAAATGAAAAAAAAAGCAAATTGGAGGGAAAAAATTTCACCACAGTGTGACAAGTGTCATGTCGATATTTGCTTTTAGTATAGGTTCACAGATTCGCTTTTATTGGTCCTAACTAGTCATCCAAGTTGCCGAACATGTGTCAACATGTGATTGGTAAAAAAATAAATGAATACTAACAAAAATAAAACCCAATACCCAGCCCCTGCCTCCTCTGGCACCCCGGCCCAACCCCCGGAACGACCACCCCTCCGGACTCCACCCCCGAAACCTTCCCTCCTCCTCAGCCCACCACCCCAAAACCGCCCATATTATAATGGTGAAGCTACGTGAGTTGAGTTAAGGGGTCGTAACTCGTTTTCTTTTAGGAAGGTAGAGAGCGGTAGAATTTCATGTTATTTTTTTCTTAATTTTAGCATCTTTTAGGGTTTTTGTTAGTATTACATAGATTTTGCTGTTAAGTTCTTTCTTACATACTAGGATGTGTAAGTTTGTTAGTAAGGTTGAACCTTACATTAATAGTTGGTGTAAGTTATATTATTTTATATAAGCTTGTTAGTGAAGTTATTTTATGCTTTAGGTTATGTAAGTTGTCATAAAACTTGTTACCCTACACGCAATTTTGTGTAAGAAAGAGAAAAGGAAGTAGAAATCATGTGTCACAAAAGTACAGAAACTATAAGTATCAAGAATATTGTTTTTTTTAGATTTCAAGTACATATTCGTGTTTTAACGAGTTTTCTTAGTTTTTGTACCTAAGTTTTAAAGATGAAACTTCTTGTAAAGGGGGTAGACCGTAATACCGTATTTTAATATAATTTATAAATTATTTAAGTATTTATAAATTATATTTTAAAGGCTCAATTATTTAAATTAAATATTTAAAGGATTTAAGTATTTTAATTATCAAGTTTAATTTGGCAAATTTTATCTTAGGTTAAACTTTTATTAATTATTATTATTTTGACCCGTTTAGATAATTGTATATGAATAATCCTTACATACTCCTACCTCATATCATTTAAATAAACCCAATTCATTTATGTAGTTTCTTGGGGTCAAATATCTTATACCTAAATCCAATTAGTTTTGTAAAGCCCAAACCTACCCTGTATACACTACACTATAAAAATCCCTCTATACTACAAAATTTGCTACACAAAAGGTTAAAAGTCAGATTTTTATTGCAAGTTTTTTTTCTTTTTGTTTACTTTTTTTTTCTTTCTTTTTCCCTTAATTTTATTTTTCCCACTTTTCCTTTCATGCATGAGCTTTCACGAGTGGCAAGACTGGCAGCCCCTTGCTGCCACTTCACGCTGCTGTTGATAAAGGTAGGAAATTAGGTCGTTATATTACCTCTCTAAATCAAATCAATTTTATCATTCCTAAACTAACCTTAAACGTGTCAAGTTCAAAGTCGAACCACAAAGACTAAGGGACAAATATTCAGGTAAACTAGATCGAAAACAAATTAAAAAGAAAAACTACTGATGGGCGTTAGAACGGTCGTACATTCCACACTCAATCAAACACATTTATTAACAAACACCTTACAAACCAAGCATAATGACAAGTAAGAGTTCGGTCCACAAGGAACAAGATATGATTGCCAAAGATCTTTACACTTAAGCTAACTCGAAGTCAATTGGTGAATAGGGGTTCGTCAAGAAGACAAACAAACTATGGTTCTAAATCAATGAATTAAAGATACTAGGGAATGAGATCCACTCAACCAAGGCAAATAGGCAAACGGGGAGTAAAATAGACAAGGTATAGCAAGGACTATATGTAAAATCAACCTCATGCAATTAGAAAACAACTCACACTACTAAACTTAGATTCCTCATTAGTTTAGCAATAGATGATACATAATCAAATTACAATAAGTAATGACGTACTCAATTTACACTTCCATGTCAAATTAGGCATATCATACTATCAAGCTCCTTAGTCAAGGGTAGCTAAACCTATCATGAGGAACTAACAAGCAATCTCATATAATCAATTTAATTGCAATACAAACATCAATGCTTCTCCCACATTTGCATAGTTAACCCAAAAGGTCGAGCTTCACCCAACCCCTAGCAAGAAAACTACTCACAACTCATGTTTATCAACATGCAATCAAGAATTAGGGTTCTAAATACTTCAATACTTGGGGAAAAGTGGTTAACAATTGAAATAACTATCATCCAATAACAAATTACCAAGAACTAAGAAGATTTAAATAACATGCAAATACCAAATGAAATATGAAATTAAAAGGAAGAAGGTTGGAGAAATTACTAATTGAAGCTTCAAATGTTGAATACAAATTGCCCAACTTTGAGAATAATTCTTGAATTTCACTAATACAATGATTTGATTTGATGAAAACTAAGCTAAATTAATCCTAAGGAATGTTTCAAACTAAGAGGGGTTTCTGAAAACTAGGCTACTGTCCTCCTTCTCCCCTCTTTTTTAAACGATCTCAAAAGGACCTTAAATAGTCCGTACAAAATTGGCTGAGATCGGGAAAAGGTCCGACCGAACTCTGGGTAAGTTCGGTCGGACTCAGGGTAGGTTCGGTCGAACCCTGTGTAGGTTCGGTCGAACCTCCCTGATCCTTGTTTGGTCGAACTTTTGAGGTTCGACCTCTCCTGCAAAATTGCTGAAAACAGGTTTGACACTGCCTTCACTGCACCCTGGAGGTTCGGTCGAACTTTTGAAAAGTTTGACCACACCAAGGTTCGACCGGACCTTTCAGAGGTTCGGCCACACCTCCTCTTGCACTTCCTTTTCTTGCTTCCTCTCCTTCCC